ATTACATTATATTTAAAATTTAAAAACGGTTTTCGTTATAACGTTAAATTATTTAATATTTTCGTTAAATGGTAAATATTTCGTAATAAATAACAGTTATTTTTAAAATATTTATTTTAACACGTTTATTTTTATAATATATTTTACGGAAAATAATATAAATAAAATTACAATATAATATAAACCGTTATAAAATATAATTAATTAAATTTATTAATATTAAAACTTATTAATTTATTAATATTTTATCATTTATTATTAATTATTATTAATTATTTTATTAATTATTTTATTAATTACTTTTTTTAATTTTTTATATAATTAAAAAAGTTTAAATATAATATTTTTTAAAAAAAAATTATATATATATTTAAAGTTTAAAACATAAATTAACACCCGTAATTTATTTTAAATAATTTTAAATTAAAAATTTAAATTAATTTAAAAAATTATATTTTTTTAATTATACCATTTTTTAATTAATTATAATTTTAAAACAATATTAAATTTAAAATTTAAAATTTTTTTAAAACTTATTTTTTTTTTAAAAATTAAATTTATAACATAAAAAAACATTAAACTAATTATTAAAATAATAATATTAATTATTTTAATAATTTAAACTAAAATTTAAAAAACAAGTTTTACCCGTTAACGCCATAACGTTATATAAACATATGGTTTATATATTTATATTTATAAATCACGATTTAAATGTTTTTTAAATTTTAATTTAAATTAATTTAAACATTAAAATAATTTATATAATATAATTTTTTTAACAATAATAAATTTATAATAATTTAATATTTAATAATAACGTATAAAATGCCTTTTATTTTTATAATTTAAAGTTAATATTTTACTTTTTTTATTTTTTTATTTTTTTTTATATATTTGTATAACATTACGTTATAATATTATAAACTTTAACGTTTAACGTAAAAATAATATTACAACCGGTAATATACCGTAATTAACATTAACAACACCCATAACAACACTTATAATAACGTATAAAATGCTTTAAAGGCTATTATTTAATTACCTTAACCTTTTCGGCTTTTTTTTATACCCGTACGGCCTCGTCGCATATTGCAGCTACCAAGTTACGGCTACCGCGTTACAACCAATATTAAGGCTAATACTAGCCACTTTCATTAACACCACAACAACACCCACAACAACACCCGCAACAACACCCGCAACCACGTATAAAATACTTTACAGGCTATTATTCAATTGCCCCAACATTTTCGTCTTTTTTTTATACCCGTACGGCCTCGTCGCGTATTGCAGCTAACCTCGTCGCGTATTGCGGCTACTATGTTACGACCGGTGTTGCAATCGGTGTTGCAGCTAATATTGGCCACTTTCAACACTTTAAAAGACTCGAAACACATAGATTTAATCAATAAACTTAATAATAAGGTTAAAAAATATTTAATAAATAAATTATTACTTATATTAATATTAATATACTATAAAAAAGGTAAAAAAAACCAAATTAACTTAAATTAAAAATGTAAAATTTTTTTATAAAAATAAATTAAAAATATAATTAATTAAAAAATAATGTAATTAAAAAAATATAATAAAATAAACTTAAATTTTACATTTAATTTAAATTATTAAAATAAAATATTAACGCGTTTTTATAATAAATAATAATTAATTATATAATTATTATTAATTTTTTTATTAAATTTATTAATTAAATACGCGTTTTAAATTAAAATTAAATATAATATTAATCGTAATACCGGTTATATCGGTTATAATATATTAATTATAACACCGATTATAATACCGGTTATAACACGCGTTATAATATACATTAAAATTATATAAATATAAAAAAAAAACTTAAATAATAATAATATTAAATTAAAATTATAATAAAAAATATTTTATATTTATATATAATATTAAATATATTTTTAATTATATTATTAATTATATTATTAATTATATTAATTTTTTATTAATTTTATATTAAATATTTTTTAACGTTAAAATTTAATATATAATAACGTTACGTTATATAAATATAAAAAAAAGTTAAAAAAATAAAAATAAAATTAATATTAACATTAAATCATTATAATAAAAATTATTTTATATATTATTATAATTTATTAAATTATTAAAAATATTATTTTTTATTTTTTATTAATTAATATATATAAAATGTTTTTTATAAATTTAAAATAATTTTAAATTTAAATTTATAAAACGTTTTATTTATAATTTATAAATATAATTATATAAATTATACGTTATGTAACGTTTATAACGTTAAAACGGGTAAAATTTATTTTTATAAAATTTAAATTTAAAATCATTTAAAATAACCCGTGATTTTTTTTATTTATATATAAAAACATTATTAAAACAAATATTTTTTATAATATTATTATAATTATATTATAAAAGTATAAAATTATAAAATCGCGTAAAACGTTTATAATTATAAAAAAATTAAAATTTTTAAATTACATGATTTTATAAATTAATTTAACATTATTTTTATTTTAATAAATTTAAATTAAAATTCGTTAAATTAATAAATTACGCCCGTTAACATTTAACGTTATAAACGTTATATAAACGTTTAATCCGTATTATTATATTTATAAATTATAAATGTAAGTTTTAATAAATTTTAATTTAAAATAATTTAAACGTTTTTAACCACGTTAAAATAAATTTTTTTAAAAATTAAACTTTATATTTATAATAATTTAATATTTAATAATAATATATAAAATAACTTTTATTTTTATAATTTATAATTAATATATTATTTTTTTTACTTTTTTATTTTTTTTATATATTTATATAATATTACATTATAATATTATAAATTTTAACGTTTAAAAATATATAATTATATATTAAAATAACATTTACATTTATATATATATTTATAATAATATATAATATATTTTATTTTTTTTAATTTAAAATTAATATAATAATTTTTTAAACTTTTTATTTTTTTTATATATTTATATAATATTACATTATAATATTATAAATTTTAACGTTTAAATTAATAATATATTTTTAAAAACATTATAATTAATATTATAACCGATATTACGGTTAATTATTACTTTAAAACGTTTAAAACGTATATATTTAAACGTTTAAAAAATTAAATAAACGTATATATTTATTAATAATAAAATTAATAAATATTTTAAATTAATTAAAATTTATTTTAAACGCGTTAATATTATTATTTTTAATATTATTTTTAATGTTAAATAATTTAATGTAACAAAAATCGCCCGAATTACCTTAAACCAAAGATGCGAAATTTGTTGGGGGGGGGGGTAGGTTGGGGATGTGATTGGTTAAAAAAAGGTGTGGCGGAAAGGGTACAACAAAATTCGCGTCACTGGTCTGAATTCACTGAGATAACATTACCTTTTGTTTAACGCTAAAGTATAAATCAAGACTTCCGGTCATATCCTTGCAATTTGTTGGCTGCTTCCGTTAACATATACTTTTTCTTATTTACTTTAAAAGGCCATCATTCCTTTCCTTTATCAACTTCATCAACCATCCAATCTTCTCAAAATTCCATATTCAATTTGCTATTCTTATCAACTCCATAAAAGCCAAAAGCCAACAGAATGACGCATATCACCGTAGAACCACTTCATGTCGCAGACAACCACGGTGTAAACTTTGGTGCTGTTGTTCATAATGCGAACATTGATAATCTCACTGGTAAGGGTTGTGCAATGCCTCTCGTGATAGACGCCCTCTGTGAAATGGGAGAACACCCGTGAAATCGGTAACCTCCTTTGGTAAGTCATCAATCTATATAATTCAAGGTAGTGAGCAGTAGCTAATACCGGGTTTAGATGTGGACTTTGAGATTATTCGCAACGCTCTCTTCATCCACCAGGTTCTGGTTTTCAAAAATAAAAGTGATGTTTCGTCCAAGTCTCAATTCGAATTGACACGACGATTTGATTCCGCTGCAACTTCGTACGGCCACGGGAAAACAATCGATGCCAAGCGCAGCATCTTGCATCCAGATCTCAAAACGATTCCCCATCAACCTCAGGTGCAAGTTATCGGGAATGGGTTCGTGTCCGAATATGAAGGTCTAAGAGACATTCGTCTTAAGCATCCGCATCATAAAACTTTTCACGCAAGTGTCATTTCGGCTGTAGATGATCTCGATTTCACTCGTTTCTACCGGTGGCACATCGATGCTGCTCTATACGGCCTTGCACCGCCCGTGGTGACCACATTACTCGCGGTTAAAGTTCCCGGAGGCCGCCGCCAGGTTTGCCGTTATGACGATGGGACCGGCGACGAGTTGGAAGTTTCTTTAGGCACCACGGCGTTTGTTTCGGGCTATACGATGTACGATCTACTTTCCGATGTTGATAAGGAGCTTGCCCGTACGTCTTGTGTTGAGTATGCGCCACATCCTTATGTTTGGATTAGCAACGCAAAATCTCGTTCTGATGGACTGGGAATGGTTACACAGGGGCTTGAAATACCCCTGGACGATCTACCACCTATCGAACAAGACAAGATCCAAATCCTACCTATGTGCTGGCGTAACCCAGTAACAGGCAAGCTTGCTCTTCAGGTACATCCGTCAGCAGTTCGGAAAATTCACCTAGCAAACGGGACTGTTGTCGACGACCTCGGCAAAGTCCGCGAAATCATACATCGGCTCCAACGTCCTGCCATCGCACCGAAATTCGTTTACGCTCACGATTGGGAAGAGGGTGATTTTGTGTTATTCCATAATCGGGGGCTGCTCCATTCAGTAGTGGGAGCATTTGCAGAGGATGAGGTCAGACTGTTTAGGCAGTGCAATGTTGCAGCTAGTCATTTTCCTGAGGGTCCCATGATTGGGACCTAATATGTGCTTTGGCATATGCTGCCTTCTCCGGCATCCACCTTATGCGAGGCTTCTAGTAGTGGTTAGGTTGATCGGTTTATAAATGATATTCTAAGAAGTAATACGAAAGTCATGTATGCATTTCTCACTACTTTACTCCGCCTAGGCTTGACTGCCAGAACCCTCCGTAATGACCCCCTTTCCCCTTTTACCTCGACCGTTTACTAGCCTAATCAACCGTCAAGAGTTGCTCGTAGAAAGCCGCGACCTTGTTTTCATTGTCGCGAAGGTGGATCTCAAGAATCCAATGCCGCTTATCTCCATCTTTGCCGGGATTGCTCATTCTTTGGTCGTTCCCCTTGGTAATATAAAGAGATATCTTGTCCCGGGGAATACGTTCATGTGGGAAGAGCCCGACTAGGTGCCCAGCAAGTTTGGCGCCGAATTCCCAACCAGCGTTTCGAGCTTCTTCGCAGGCAATGTCATACAATCGCTCGCCCGTCACATCTGGATTCTCCTGGTACCGAGATTTCACTATTTTCCAGACTGGGGCGAGAGAGTCTCGTAGACGTTTCTTGTTGGGGTCATCGCCAAGCACAAAGGTACGTGCAAAGTCGGCCTCCCAGGCCTCAAATACTGGTCCTAGGTCGACGTATAGGATGTCATCTTCTCCAATGATACGATCAGGTGGATTATCCTCAAATGGTAGAAGGGTATTGGGTCCGCTTCTGACAACTCTTTTGTGCCAATGTGTTTTAACACCATGGCGTTCTGTCCCAAGCTTATGGATCTCATCGCTCAACGTCTTCTCGCTGATGCCGGGTCGGATAAGCTTCTCCTCTATCTCCTCAAAAAGTTGGACGGCTTTGTTCTGGGCATCTAGGAGGTAAGCTGCTCGCTCACCTTCTGTCACACTCATGATGTCGACTGTTATACAAAGCCGTGTTATAAGGTTGCAGTACAAAAATAAGATTACCCGGAGTAGAAATGTAAAAATGCTGCAATTGGGTAACTGAGGGGTAAACTACCTACGTTTGAAGTTGCCCAATATCTTTAATTGGCTTTATGCAGGTAAGCATATAGTCAAAGTATAAACCATATTCCCCCTTATCGACGCTCACATAATTTTATCCATTAGTATGTTGATAACGTAATGTACTTCATGTAACACACCTCACATAACGTAAAAACTAAGCCTTGACCTTGTATGCCTCTGTCGAGGAGCTGTGGCGGATTCTTTTTACACCAATCTAGCTCTACATGGTGTTGAGGTATTGACCTCGACGAAACTAGGCAACTTACGATACGACCACAATGAAAGCACCGGCGTCGCTATGTCCGTCTATGTCGAGTAGTCTATGAAAATAATCTATGTCTAAGTGTCTCACCACCCCTCTACGCTCCCCATGGCAGATTGAGGAGCTATCACTCCTCTAAGAAGCCCGGGAATAGGTACTGGACCTTCTTCAATGCCTCGGGGTTCCGGCCCTCGGGTTTGGTGCAAAACATCACAGCACCCTTGCTGGCACCCTCCCAATGCTTGGCGGTAACTAAGTCGCTATTCTCGAGTTTGCACAGCTCGTCTAGTACGGCACCAACCAGCCGCCGCGCATTTTTGCTGTTGGCTTCCATATAGTGCATAACCATGGATACGTCGACATCTTCGGTCGTGTGCCAGCAATCGTAGTCGGTAGCCATGCAGATGACCTGGAGCGCCATCTCTGCCTCTCTCGCCAGCTTAGCTTCCGGCAGCAGCGACATGCTAATCACCGAACCCCCCCAGGAGCGGTACAGATTCGATTCGGCGCGTGTTGAGAACTGTGGGCCCTCTGGTGACCGAGCACCGTTAGTAAAGCATACTAATAGTTAATTTCAGTACCTACCCATACAGATGGCAGTTCCACTGCCGTGCAATACCACACCATCACCCTGCAGAGACTTTGCGCATTGGCGAACGATCTGAGCAATCTTGTCGTCGTAGGGATCGCCGAAGGGGACGTGACCGACGAGCCCACCCTCGAAGAAGGTAGAAGGACGAACGCCCTTAGTGCGATCGATAACCTGGTCCGGCACAACGAAGTCCATAGGCTTGATCTCCTCGCGCAGGGAACCTACAGCAGAGAAGGCAACAATGCTGCGCACGCCAATTCGTCGCAGAGCTGCGATGTTGGCCCGGGCAGGAATCTCATGAGGCGCGTATTGGTGGTGAGCACCATGACGGGCTAGGAACGCGACAGGCACGCCGCTATGTTCGAGAATCAGGATGGGCGCGGATGGATACCCCCAAGGCGTTAATGGGTTAACACGGGCGACGGGCGTGTAACCGTCAATCTTGTAGAGTCCCGTCCCGCCTATGACGGCGATATGGACAGGCCCTGTAAGTATGAGCCATCGTATTAGCTAGCAACTCAAACAAGGCTGTCTGCTAAAAAGAGGATGGTAGAGATGAGGGCGGGGCAACTCGGGATATTCTCACGGTCGAAAGATTCAGGGAGATCAGACATTGTCTCGGTACTGTTTTTAGCGGTGAAGTATTTATTATTATTATTCCCTTTCGAGCCGCTTCGAAACACCCTCAAGTCAATATCGGGTTCTTTTATTTATATACGTCTTGTCGCTACTTGTTGCAGTTGTATTGCGATATAAAATTTACGATAAGAGGATGCCCCTCCCCCTCTTTGTGGGGAATGTTGATACATGCACATGTACCTTATACATACATGTATGTAGCTACCACGTGCTCCGATAGTAAAAGCGAGGGTCCCCCCGTGAAGGCAACCACAAGAGCCCGACTTTTAGCAAAGCTCATGCTTATGTCATCCCTTATATCATCCCCTTATGTCATTCTTCCGAAATTTAGCCGCTTATTCCCCTAAGGTCACGTGCCGCCACGCCGGGCCGCGCGGGGGGGGGCGCTCGGCCCTCGCTTTGCAAGAGCCTCGCACCCCCCCCTCGCGCGGCCCAGCAGCGGCGGCACAATGCTCTAGCTATTCTAAGCTATCCTTCATTAAGGTCTTTCTTTATTTATAAATTTTAAAAAAAAGGATTAAAAAGAAAAACGTATAGGATTCAAACCTAGCTTCCTATAAAAGTTATATGGTATTGTCCCGAAAAGGTTTAATTTTACACTTAAAAACATGTGACCTATATATGGCCTTATATTGGCATATAGCCACCTAATATGATTGGTTAAATTTTTAGCCTAAACCTCATACACAAGCCACCTTTTTCCCCAATCCTCTTATCTCTCTTATCAAAAACCTTATCCTCTTATCGGCTTATCAAAGGTCTTATCAAAAGTCTTATCAAAGATCTTTTCAAAAGTCTTATCAAAAGTCTTATCAAAAGTACGTACCGCCTAAAATATCCACATTAAAATTAGCCCAACGCTAATCATGCAGCTAAAACCTTAGCTCCATATTTCAGCCAATAAAAAGCCTGGGATCCAGACGCTAGTATGGTGCACAGACGAATTGCCTAATTAGGAAATACCCTGGCCAAACACAACATCCCTCCTAAAAGTCGGGCATAGTTGATCCACAAGCAGATGTTACAAACCAAACTACCTGTTCGTACAGTACAGGTCTCATGTTTACATAGGAGGTAGTTTACCTACACCATCTACATTTTTACTATTTCATTATAATACCATCAATTCCATACCTACTATATATATTATAAACCTAATAAATCTCACATGCTTTTAATTTTTTATATTTCTTATTAATTTATCTTAATGATCCTTGAGAAGATTGGATATGGCGTATTGTGAGGGAAAATATCTACCTAATATGTATGTACGTGGTGACGCATCTCGTAACGTTCATGTCAAATCACGACGCTCGAGTTGTAAGGTATACTAACCCGCTTTCCCAGTCAACCGGGCTCAAGGCATTTTAGGGTCTCTACGAGATGATCATTAGGGACGAATTGCCGATGCTAGATAATAATCACTATGCCGGCTAATGAGACCGACTAGGTAATAATATTGCACGTGTGTCCGCTCCCATCCTGTATCAGTTCCATTTGGGGAAATTGTCGGTTAAGTGATGGTATCTTAGTCCTAGGTCTATAATATACCTACTAGTGGTCATGGTGCTATGCTTTATGGCCGGAAGAAGTGACGAGAGGGGTGTTGGGATGGGCACGAGCTATCAGTAGCAATAGCTTCCCATGGTCGCCGTTAACTTTTCACTTCTTTAGCTACTCAGATATTGCTGCTGTCTTTTTTAGGCGTGTGTGAGCTTTGTTAAGCTTACGTTTATCACAATGTATTTCAACACGTTACTAAGAGTGTGCTTTGTATTACTGTTCTCGCAGCTCGGATCTGCTCAGACGATTGTTGTGGGCGGTCAAGTCATCAGTCAGTCAGATTGCGATTCTATCACATCTGAATAACTACGAAGAATGTTTTCTAGTAAACTAACCTGATATATTCATGCTTGAAGATGCCGACGAGTCGACCATTTCTCCCGCTTTCGTGCCCGTCGATGCTTCATCCTCTAATGCGACAGCCGACCTCTTCCTCGGGGAAACCCATCAGCTTACTGACGCCGTCCTTGCAAACCTCACTAACCTCGGATTAACCAACATTGTCCTGTTTGGGTTTGCTGATCCTGCGACCGCCCCTAATCAGTCTATTATCGGACCTTGTAAAACCTTCCCGGGTGAATTTGTCGTTTTCCCTGGTCGTATTACTAACCGAGTATTCGACCTTCTCCTGGGCGGCAGCCTTATTCAGACCAAACCGTTTGCTTCGCCATGCTATAGCGACTACGGGAATCAAGATGCGGCAAAGTGTGCCGAGATTACGTCTCACTGGTCAGACAACTCTTACATTCAGTGAGTTAATTCGCTCATCCCCTTCCCGGCGCTGTACTCTAGGGCTAGAGCTAAAGGGGCCAAGCACGAACGATCCAACTTCTATCAACGCAATCCTATTTGAAGGGACGTCATGTGTACCGCACACAGTGAACCCATTTGCGCTGAACTGTACCATTGGCGCATACCCGACAATGTCGGTTAATGTAACCACTGTCGCCCAAATTCAACTAGCTATCAACTTGGCGCGGAGCCTCAACTTGCGACTCGTTATTAAAAATACAGGGCATGACTATAGCGCAAAGAGTACGGGAGCTGGTGCTCTTTCTCTCTGGACTCATAACATGAAAGACATCCAATACTACGAGAGATACGAAGAAGGGTCATATAGAGGACTAGCTTTTAAGATGGCAGCTGGTGTTCAAGTATTTGAGGCATATGAAGCTGCGCATAAGTATAATCTTACGATTGTTGGCGCAGAGGGGAAGGTGAGGCGTCTATTAATTCCGCTGGGGAGAGAGCTAACGATAACATCCACAGACGGTCGGGCTTACAGGAGGGTATATTCTAGGTGGCGGCCACTCCCCTTTGTCAAGTCTATATGGAATGGCAGCAGACCAGGTTGGTTTATTTTTACGGGCATTGTAACTGCGTGGGCTAAAATGACGATAGGTCCTCTCTATGGAGTTAGTCACAGCCGACGGTCGCTTCGTCACAGCTAGTGAAACCTCAAATCCCGATCTCTTTTGGGCTCTTCGAGGTGGCGGTGGATCGACTTATGGAGTTGTTACATCTATGGTGATTAAGGCGTTTCCTGAGATCCCAGTCTCAACGATGACATTTAGTCTATCTACAGGGGAAAACGTATCTATGGATCAGTTTTGGCAAGCCTTTCGCGCTTACTTTGAGGGTTTTGCCAACTACACCGATGCCGGGAACTACGCTCATTTTGACCTAAACGCCACGAGTGGAAACTACGTCTGGAATATGGCACCTTGGTTCGCTCCAAACATGTCTAAATCAGAATTGGAGGTCCTTTCCGACCCCTTCTTCAAGACTATTGGTAGCATCGGGATCGATCTGAAACCAGTCTATCAAGAATACACAAACTTCTATGACGCATGGAATAATAGCTTCCCTCTCGAACTTTGGGGGTCAAATCTTGCTAGATACGGTAGCCGGCTTTTCCCACGGGAAAATTGGAAGGATTCGACGAAACTGTCATCTACTTTTGAGGCTATTCGTCACGTCGTAGACAATGGTGGTGTGGTATCAGCCTACAACGTTGCTGTTGCCCCGAAGTCCGGGTACCCTGATAAGTATGTAAATCGATATTATTCCTCCTGCCCTCCTTTCACCTTGTCCTGAGAATCACCGTCTCCTTTCCGGGCTGGCTGGGAAGATATTTCTCTCGGGACTTGCTTAAAATTTCTAGATTCTCGATTGAAAAATATAATTATTGACTTTGTTATAGTGCTGTTAATCCGGCCTGGCGTGAGACTGTGCTACACGCTATCGACATCGTGGCATGGACTCAAGATATGTATACAGAACTCATCACAATATGGAGTAACGTTTTGACATCTGACTGGGGATCGCTGTGGCGCTCGGTATCGCCCGGTTCGGGAGCTTACCTTTCCGAATCAGATTATATCGAACCCGACTTTCAGCAGTCATTCTGGGGTAGCAAATATGATCGGTTATACGAGCTCAAGAAGAAGCTGGATCCTTGGGATGTGTTCTATGCCCAGAACGCGGTAGGTTCAGAGGATTGGGAGATGTCCGATTGGATTTTTGGGAATTTGCCGTCCCAGAACAGTCGGCTGTGCCGAAAGGGGACGAATCCCTCGCAGCAAGGGGCAAGGAGGATGGTTCATGGATAGTTCGTGTAAGAGGGGTTTTGTCTCGAAGCCAATATATGTGTTGATTTTTATGAAATAAATGCAACATTAATTTGGTAATATTATGTATACCTTAGGACGTAATAGCCGTCTGGTTTCAAGTGAAGCTTTTAAGAAACATACCGGTGTATCGAATAAGTAGGTCGATACCTGCGAATGGAAGGGAACAATGATCCCTGCTGATTAATGTAGAATTCACTTAGACGAATACATGTGCTTATAGAATCTCGGCCCCACCTGATGCCACCCGCAAACCCGTTCAACCTCAGCATGCCGAACTTTTCATCCCAAATCATTAGGTCCTAGGTTAGGTTATCTTAGTCACATAGCTGTCCCTCTTTTTAGTATTTTTTTTTCTTCAGCTGTCACGATCTCCTACTTCCTAGGTATCTATGGCGGGTCACTATATACGTTGTATTTTTTGACCTGCACCTTCAGGCAGCGCGTCATCGTCTAGGTTCTGAGAGCGCGGTAATTTTACCGGGGCTGTAAACATATTGTCATGGCATCATCTCCCTCTAGACTCATTAACCAGTTAGACCCCGACACTGCTAAGATGTGGAAAGACGACTCCATCGAGGAACGCATCTTCTCGGCAGCTTTAATATGTCTAGAGGGCCATTACAACCAGTCCCCTACAATGGGACCCCAATCCATCGCTAAAGTGACCAGTATTATCTCTAAAACATTGGAGAAAACGCATACCTTCAAGGACGTTAGGTAAGTGTCTCGAGGGGGCAGCTTCGGAAAAGAAAAACCAAAAAGAAACAAAGAAAAAAGAAAAGCTCTAAATATGTTACTAATACTCTAGTCGTAGGGAGGTCCTATCGAGAAACGTGCGGGTATGGATATGGCTACGCCGAGCTGTATCCGCCGCAATATGTGATCTCAATGAGAAGTCTCTTGGTGTACGATCGGAACCTTTTGTTCAAACGAAGTTCCTCGACATCACTACCCCAGAGGTTACCGCTTTGATTATCAAGAACTACGTGCCTCTAAAGGAGGCGTTGCAGATGCTCAACAAGCTCATGCATATTGCTCGAAATCTACTTGTCACTACTGACCCAGAGGTCCCTCAAGATTTGTCTGCAGCTATTCAGTTCGACCATGAAGTATATGAATCCATATGTCTTTGTGTCAACGTGACCAGCAAGGGAATTGATGGGGAAATGCCAGAAGATGAAGCCTCCAGGGCTAAACTGAATGAGATCACCGAACTCTGTACGTGGAGCCCCTTGCTAGTAGGTATAATCTGCATAGTTAACCATTAGTAGGCAAAAAGGTCCTTGTGACATCCCTACAGCAAGCTCACAATTGGATTGCCAAGAATGACCGCAATAAGATGTTATTTTGGTACAAAGTATTAATTGAATCTCCCGACGCTGAGAGCAACCCAGGTCCAGAGGATCGGCATGAGTCAGTGCTGGACTACCCAGCTCCTAGGAGTATTCATCTGCGAGACGAAATTTCGAACTGGCTAAAGAGATCGTCGCGAATGTGCGATGCTGCTATTGGCATTTGCAAGGAATATTTCGATGCCCAGAGCGCCGAAAAGAAGGATCAATGGTTACCCCATGAAGAGAATCTCCTAGCCTGGAATTACACCCCGCCTGAAACTTGGGCCTGGCAACCGGATATGTATGACGAGGCTGCTGAATTGGTTTCAACGTGGAACCCCGAAGAAACCGATAAGTTTGAGCAGGATAGAGCATATGGCCGTGTATCGCACGAACTCGACAAGTGGTGGTACGGTGCACGTGTCCCCAACTCAAACGACTGGAGTCTGACAATGTACTCAACCGTTGACTCTGTTCCTCAGCGCATTAAGGAATGCGAGTCCAATCTCATGCAACGCTACGCAGCTGCCGAGCCTCAGGAGGATCCGAACGATACGATTGAGCATCATGTGGAGGAGGAACACAGTGCTGAATGGCAAGGCCAGACGTCTCAGTCGGGCCAGGCCTTCGCCCCCGAGTACGACGAATATGAGGAAGAAGCTGACGATGACGATTCATATGGTGAAGGGCCAATGACTGGTCTTCTGACCGAGGTGCCAAATATCCTTGACCCTAAACAGATAGAAGCGCTTCACATGATCGTCAAGTCTTGCATATTAGATTCAGCGGGTTCTGGGTTGACTATATTCCGCGAGAACTTGCAACAAACCCGTTGTCGTATCTTTCTTGCCACTGACTGTGGTAGGAACCTCCTGAGGGAAATGCTCGTCTTTATAGCTGTATGGGAAAAGGATGAACAGTCCTTAATATTTCAGATTAGCAGTCAGATAGTGCAGGCGATCCACGAGAACTCGCTCATCCCTTACGCATGGATGGCGCTTCGAAGCCCTAAGGATATCATTTCGCCAGCACAAACAGTCCTACTTCGGCTTATTACCTATCTATTCCGCACAGCTTTGTTCCCCCCTAAGGATTATGATCCCTTCCCGGATACAAAAGCGGAAGATGTCGAAAAGATCCTCGCAAACGAAGATGTTCGTCTCGGAAAGATGCTTAACTATCTATATGGTCTCTTCCGCAGCCGTATCGTCCCAGAATGCGTCGCCTTGATGCAAATTCAGGGTGAGGTCCGTAAGGGCCGACTGGATCCTGCCGACTTCCCAGTTGATAACTGGGATCTGGAGCGGGCCAAAGACGGGTTGGTACAATACCTTGATTTTCTTTACACGGTTGCAGATATCCATCCTCTTCGTCAACATCTCATCGACTACGAGGCCGTCTATGAGCTCCTTAAGTTGCTTGAGGGCCTTGATATCGGGGTGGAGAAAGCACCATTCCCAGGCACTCGACGAAACGAGCCTCCCACCACACCCTCTACTACCACATCAACACCCCAGGCGTCATCATCCAATAATCCGCCACCTCCGCCTCCACCACCACCGATATCCGATCCGCCCCACGAGTTCCCCTGGTCTGGCATCAAAGGCCAAGTTCTATCTATACTTGCCGCTCTCTTACAGCCACCGCCTGGTCAATCCTCGCCTGGCAATCCGACAGTGCAGCTCCAAATTTTACGTCATAACGGAATAGTGGCCTTGCTTAACTGCTGTTTGTACGACGACAACAACCGCTTCTGCCGTGAGCGCACGCAGCTCTGCCTCAAGTGGCTTATGGACGGCTGCCCGGATGCCTCGGCATTCCTCCAGAACCTCGTCAGCGCCAACCAAGGACAGCCAGTGGCGCGTCCACCCGCCGGCAGCAACTTAACACAGAGCGTTAGGATAGACGGTGTCCCCGGCGAGGTTAGGGTTCAGGTGCGCAGCTCGAGCGCGCCCGCCGGAGAAGTCGGCGAGGTAGTAGGGGATGGTGCAAAATTAAGGAGTAGGCTCGAGGAAAATAAGAGTCGTAGCGAGGAGCTTGTTAATGACCTCTTGGCGCTGACTGTTGTTGACGAGACTGGTAAGATGACTATTGCCCCTGATGGTGATGAGACGGAGGATGATGACTTCATGTGACCGGACTGAAAAAGGGTAAAGGTTTTCAAGCGTTAGGGTCATAATGGTGGCATGTAATTATCATGAAAACTGTGGTTATTCTGCGAGTTGCATCGGACGGGGAGTAAAAACTTTGATCGGTATTTGTAGTCGGAAAAGGGATACTGTCGAACAAACCGCTATACCACTAAAAGGTTATTTGGTAACAGATTTTATTCTATTACATTTTATATGTATCGGACAGATAGTAATATCCGACAGATACTAAAAAAGCCCATTGTTGCGGCTATATGACCTAGTCAAGCAGTTGAGCCACTCGAGTAGTGAGGAGAACACTCCGTGTATGTGCGATACTCACTCGGCTCACTAGGCCCGAGGGGAGGTATTTTGTAAGATTTATATTGTATGGCTCGCTTATTACACAGTGCATTTTGGCATGTAATGAAAGAAGCTTGAGTGCTCTTCTTTTTAGCTACCAAGTGACCAAGTGAACTATGTGCATTACCGCCCTTCAAAGCTATAGTTTGCAAAATCGATAGGCTGACAAGTATCTTTTTTCCCCAGTTTCCACCCGGCCGACCGATTTATTCATCCCGGGAGCTCATTTGGCAAGCAAACGTAACCCCCCTCACCTCACTTCCTCTCTCTATAGACGGCTATCTTGAACCTATTATATATCACCTGGTTATATCCTAGCCCTGTGACCTAGAGTACTTACATGATCTTGGCTATCTGCTCCAGCAGCTCGACATCCCGTACAGCTAGACCTAGGAGTAGTTCGTTCGTGAGGGTCTGTAAGACGTTGGTGCCTTCTGACTTGAGCTTTACGTTAATGAATTTATCCATGCCAACTTTATTCTGGGTACATAACAATTCCTCGATTCTTGAAAACTGAATGTCTAGATTCTCACTGCAATATACCCCCTCCTTCTCGTCGTTAGTAGTAGCGATGGTTCCGCAGTGTAGATTGTGTGAGTGGACGTCGTTAGCAAGTTTTCCCGATTCTGTCTGGATCCCACTTGATACGACGACGTTGGAGGATATGCCACATTGAGTAGCTACACTAGTATATTGATTATATGCCGTATTCAAATTCCGATTGTTAACGTCTAATCCTCGGGACGATACGCCAAAAGCTCCAAGGGTGTCGACATTAGTGGAATTACCAGTCGTCTTAAATTTCCTTGCGCTTTGTACATCGCCTAAGGCCCTGACGCTTCGAGAATCTTCAAACAGGCCGGTTTCGTTGATAATCTCGTATGGATTAGGTTTCGGAGCATCTGCTACCTTGGGTTTCGCCAGTTTATTTGATACTAGCCTGGGGTCAGTATCATCTACTGTGGTGGTTATATATTGGGCCGTAGTCATTTTAGCGTTAGATTCTTCGAGGGGTTGGTTGACTTCCTCCGTGGTGGTATTGCTGTTCATGGGATTAGTTTCAGGAGTCTGAGCTGGTTGTGTGTCAAAGGTGTTCGCTAAGGGCACTTTCTTGGACGTCTTAGGGGTGCCGACCGTCTGAGATTGGTTTCGAATCACGTTGAATTTGATCCTCTTTGAGGGATTGGATTTTTCGATAATATGGCTAGTCGTTCTCTTCTGACCTCCTACAAACCCTATTGTTCGTTGCTCAGATAGGACAACAGCTGGGCTTAATTCCCGCCGGCTTCCTTCCGCCGTGCTAGTGCTTAGCGGTGTTAGTTTTCGGGAACCACGGTTGGCAACGGGGCGTGTAGTTCTAAGTGTTCCCTTTGAGAGCTCTGTACCCGCTAGGGTAGTGGCGTGTAAGGAGAGATCATTTTCGGGACTCTGAGCTACCCCATGCTGTGGGAATAGGGTAGTATGAGGGGAGACTGATTTGTCAACGCTATCTAAGTCCAAAGATGTGGCTGGTCTAGGTGGATGAGTGAAGCTACTATCGCTGTCACTACGGGTACGGTGATTTAGGTAGACAGGGACTGAATAAGGCCGGTTTGACGATAGCTGTAATGACGGGATGGGTATTTGATGTGATTCAACCCTATTCATAGTGGCCCTCTGCATTCGCAAGGGTATGGCTCGAGGACCTCCTGGCAGAGGGTGGTATTCCTGAGACCATATTGGTGGAGGAAGGTAACCATAGGCTGCTGGAAGAGGAAGGGGATTTCGAGGATATCCGAAATGGGGCCTGTATGAATTAGAAGATGGGATAGGTAGATCTTGAGTAGGCGTCGAGAGCCTGCGGTGACCTGGTTGCTGCATTGTGACTGAGGTAGAGAATTGATGTAACTTCCATGAATGTTCAATGCTGGTATTAATTAGGAGGTACATACGCTAGTATTAATATGTATGTACATACATGCTTGTATGATATTGACGAGCACATATGTGGGAAGGAGCACTAGTATACATGAGTTTACCTAGGTACGAAGTACATACTACACCTTCCCTGAGGCTATTCACCACAATATGTAGGTACCTAATTGTAGGAACTACAACCAACGAAGGAACGATAAGAGGTACATATTATGTACATATGTACCTACATGGCGGCGTTAGTGCAGTGCACTGACCAACGCGCATTTTTTGGAGCAACACGACTCGGCCCCATCCAAACCATCAATCTTTCATTTTCGCGGTCGCGATTCCTACGTACTGTAATTCCTTAGCTTTGCGACTTCACTTCCTGCGCATCGCTAACCAAAATCCCTACAATCTCAACTTGTTAGTTCGCCGAGCCGCGAACCTACATCCGGACACAGTGCAGGCATTTTTACGCCTAGTTATCTAATTCCTTCTTCACTTTTACCGTTATCCGCTTAACGCGCAATCGCAACACTTCAGCTTGAAATAAGCAAGCAGATAAAGTGTATGATCGATGCTCTAATTACTCTACGTCTATTACGACTCCTTGAAACTCTCCTCATGAGAATTACCACTACCGATTGCGACGGCCGCGACCTGTGTTAGATCAAGATGGCCCCGAACCGTGGCCTTGGGAGCAAGGATATTTACATCCACGAAATCGATCGCACTCCAGAATATGCAGAGTTCATCCAGAAGCTCACGGCGTTCCATGAGAAACGTGGCACCTCGTTCGAACCTGAACCCCGACTCCCTACCATGCACGGTCATGTCAACGTCGACCTATTGAAGCTATATAAGGCCGTCATCTCTAAGGGAGGCTATGACGAACTCAACAAGGTTCAGAAGTCTTGGGGTGGCCTTGCTGCCGAACTGGGCATGCATCATACAGATAGTAAGGGTACCGGTCAGCTCTCTTTTCAACTGAAACAGGACTTCTATCGTTACCTCGCTGCATACTGGATTTATGACCAGCACGGTAGGGAACCCCCGCCCAAGGAGATTTTAGAACAACAGTCGTGTGCTAGCAAGTTTGGTCCTGTCCTAACTCGCACTGTCGAGAATTTCAAGCACTCTTCGAGCCGTTCCGGGATGGAGACTCCCAGTCGCGAAGAGCGCCAGAGCGAAAGCACTCCGGTTTCGGGAAACAGGGCTTCTGGTCGCCTACGTGAAGCTCCTCCTCAGCGAGTTCCTTTTCAACCTGAGACAGGACCGACCCGCCAGTCTAGACAAGCATCCTCACACCACGGCACACCAACAGCCACCAATGCTGGTGCCATTAACACTGGCCATGGTTCCAATCTACCTCATGTCCAGCATCCTAATCACCATCTCCCCCAGCACCATAATCCTAACAACCCTCTTCACGTAATACAGGCTCAGCAGGCCGCCGTTCGTGGTGCCTCGAGTACATTTACCCCTACAAACCCCGAAACTGCCTCACGCCTGGTAGAGTTGTTCGAGCCGCGTCCTCCGATATCTGTTCCTCTTCGTCCCGTGAGCACCCCAGGGAACAATCCAGAGTTTGCCAAGCGACAGCGTCAGCTGCGGGCGGCTGCTGCTGCCCCCGATACTCAACTACCCGTTCGTCCAGCTATCCCAGGTATCGGTTTCGAGGGCCCCAACATCTACATGCGCTGCCTTCAAGCCCTTCGTTCAGGCATCCCTACTGAACAATCATTTGCACTCAACCACCTCGTCAAGATCTCATTTGAACGCGGTGATAAGTACAAATTCGAGTCATTTCTTGGCTTGGCTGAAGGTCTTATCGAGAAGGCCCTCGAAGTCGGTAGTTTATTTTACCATATTGAATGGCAGATTGCCTACTTCAACGACCCAGAGAATTCGGATGTGGCCATTCTTGATGGGCTTAACGGTACAAGTGATATTCTGGAGCGGATTGCGAGACTCTCGCCGAGACCGATTCTCGATTATATGCAGTCCGCCGAGTTTAGCGACCGCCTTCTTCGGATTACCGAAGCTGTTCTTACTATTCGTAATATGGTCATGCTGGTAGAAAATGCAATTTACATGGCGGATGTGTATCCCCTAAAAGATCTGCTCTGTATCCTTCTACATCTTCCAAATCTAGAGATGCTTGTTGAGATTAAGCATTTCGCACTGGACATCGCCGAGCAGCTTACACCCTGGCTCATACTTGATTCCGAAGATCCGTTGTACCGAACACTGTTGGCGCAACTGGACTCAACGGATCGGGGCACGATTTTGACATCTCTCCGCGCCATCAGCCGGATATCGATGAACTTAGAAGCTACGAATAAGATGCAGAATGTCCCCTCCGTGGTTTTGCAGAATATTATGAACTGGCTGCTGCTCAACGACGAGGAACTTATGGACGCATGTCTGGATTTCCTTTATCAGTATACAGCAGTGGTAGCTAATGTTGAGTCCTTACTCAAGGCCGTGAACATGGAGCACGTCGTACCTCATCTGGTCAGGCTCCTAGCTCATGGAGCGAAACGAGTTAAGGAGGACAGAGTTCTCGAACCAGAACGAAAAGCGCCGGCTTCCGAAGAAGTAGCCACGCTACCTCCGGATCTCCAAGAACGGCTCACGAACACAGACGAGCCTCAGAGATGCTATAATTGGCTTCAGAGTCTATTTGAGGAGGACAGCGAATCTCATATCACGCAGATCGCTATATGGCAAGCCTACCAGAACTCTTTTAGGGCGCTTGCGAGCAGCTCGAGGAATATGCTTAGTGCGGCTGATTTTATTAGGAATGTTAGCCATGTGTTTGTCAATGCTCGAGCACAGATTATCAGGCGGCAGCGTGCCGATCAATCGGATCTTTTTATCATTGAAGGTATCCGAGCACGAACGTTGCCCATTAATCCTGAGACAAAGGAGGAATACTGTCCGTGTCGGTGGATGGTAGCCAAGGGCCCGTACCTCAAGAAGTGCAATCAGTTCTTCCTTGGTGGGGAGACGATGTGGCATCATGTCTTGAATACCCATCTAGGCGTTGTTATCGGTGAAGGGAGTAAGATCGAGGATAAAGAGATCAACGCATCTTGCGACTGGGAGGACTGCAAGAAGTATCAGAAACCTACTCAAATTAAACTATCAGGACTTGCACGCCATCTCAAGACTCATTTCCCTTCGGTACAGAAGCGTTCATTCGCCGAGGGTCCAGAGTCAGCCGCGAAACGGCAACGCAAGGCATATATCACCCCGGCGAAGACCATGAGCCTTGCCTGGGAACAGACTATTGTCACCAGGGATGAGCGGAACCCTAAGGTGGAGCAAGCCGCTGGCATCCCGCTTAGTGCCGTGTTAGTACTGCGCAACATCGCCCGTAACGTAGTCAAGACGGAGTCGGAGGAGCAGCTGCTCAAAAAGCACGAGATGGGCGGTGAAGGCGGTGGCTGGAATGAAAAGCTCTTCCGCCCTGTCATGGCTCGCTTGTTCGAGGTCATGACGGAAAATAAGGCTTTGGTAAGTTCTTTACTCATTATTTTGTGCACATCTAAGTCTCGTCCCCATTACTTTGCTGCTACCCCCTTTCCTTCCTTCTCCACTCAACCTATTTACTTTTTTTGTTGTTGCTTACTTTACTAACTCTTCACCAGGCCGATTATATTACATCGCTTTTACAATTGGTACAGGACGACTAGGCGAACCGAAAAAAATTGGGTTTAGGATTGCGATTTAATTTGACGAGCAAGTCAGCCTCCTTACGTGTAGGAATAATACCCAGGCGTTTCAGAGTCGGTCGGTTGGAAGGAAAGGCGTTGTAGAACTCGTTTGCGAGTTCTTGGCGCTTCCGGAAGCACAAGGCAAGGCAAGGATGTATCAACAACTAGTGTACTGAGATATTCCTACGTGGTTATCAAATCACGTCTAGAACATAATGAACATTGCCTTGTCAACTTTACGTTGCTTATACCCGCTAGATACTTTCAAAATATCGTAGTCTCTAATGATCCTCGTCTGTCATGCGAAATAACTTGTACTATTTTTATTTATACCTGCTTGTCCGATTTTGATTACAGTTTCACAGATAATTCAATCAGTCCCACTGAGCCCCTTCGACAGCACAGCTAGCCTGGCCATAGCCAACTCGGAAACCACTGGGTATGCCACTTCGGGGAGACTTCTAATCTCGCCTTCCAGCCTGTCCCTCGCGCACAGCCTGGAGGATAAGTTCCTTGGCCTTCTCACAACCCTCCTTGGAACCCATGATCTCAATGGGCTCGTCCCTGGCTTGGTCACGTGGAACATTGATCTTACATCCACTTTGTTTACGAATTGAGTTGACCTTGGAGCCGCCCTGACCAATGACATGGCGATATGTGGACGGGTCTGGTAGAACAAGGAAGCCGATAGTGTTGTTCTTCTGGGCTTGTTCAAGTGCTGCCGTAATTGCTTTCTTCGCCTTTTCAATATTATCCGGGCTGCCTCTTAATACCCACGGAATATCGCCATCTTCCGAAGAAGCAGTATCTATAACCGTCCAATGGTGCGCATCCGCGGCTGATTCTGCATCGTCTGTGATCAGGGGGAGAGAGCCAACGTTTGCTCGTGTGGACGAGGGCTTAGGCTTCGCTGGCACAGCGTGACCGGCGTGATCCACTGTAACTTTCTGGTCATTTCTAAGCTTACGGAAGAACTGACCATTTTCTGAAATGGCATGATGATACTTCCGCGGGATCTGTATCGTCTCGCCTTGCTGCTCCTTGATGATCGACGATATGTGCTCCTTTGCCTTCTCGACGTTGGCAGGCTGGCCGATCAGCTTCACGCCGGTCAGACCGCTCCCTTGCCGGGGAATATCAATAGAGACATTAAATTGTGACTCGAGCTGGCGTTTGGTTTCACCGCCTCGCCCAATTAATGATCGATGTTTTTCAACGGGTACTTCGACCGTCTCGGTTATCTGACTCTCGCGTTCCGATACCAGAGCCTGAATGCTAGCAATGATCTTGTCGACAACGTCTTGTCGCCCTTCGATCTTGATGGCATTTCCATCCGCATCTTGCTTGGGAAACTGGATAGTTCGAGCCTGAAGTCGCCTATCTTCGGGGCCGCCAGCT